ATATATAACTTATTATTATTTATTATTTGTCAGTGGGACGATTTATTGGACATAGGTAAAAAAGAATCGGAGGATAAATTACTATCTGTGTTAAAGACGATAGGAATAAATGAATGTTGTATTTTAGTATATACGGTTAGTATATAGGTTCAATTCATCGCAGTTAATTATATTGCGATTGCTATAACATATTATTTTTTAAATTTGCAATCTTTATAGTCGGGAACAGTCGGAAATCCAAAAGCTGTAATGTTAAACCATGATAATGTGCTATTCAATCTACGAACATTATTGCCATTGCTACATTTAAAAGAAAAATCAGAGATTATAGTTAGCTATCTGCCACTGTCTCATGTGGCAGCACAGGTAACATATTCCAAATAGCATAATATATATTTTATGCTATACATAATATGTATCTTAAATATAAAAATTCAACGGTGACATTTAATACAAATTATTACAAATTTTCACGAATATAAATTACACAGGATTGAAACGCGGAACTTGTAACGTCGTTACCGTTACTTTTTTTAAACAGTTGGAATCAGATCTTAACTGTTGACTAATATTATTGACAATAAATTTATAGCTTATTTGTAATTATGATTTATAATTTATAAAATTTATAAAAAACGTTCTATTTTTCATATGTTAAGATTTTTGCAACTAAGTTTTATATGCTCTTTATTTCCATTATATCATTATTTGATACTAATAATCCTTCGTCTTTACTAATTTGCATAATGAGATTATATAATATTTTAATTCCAGCTAATTGATATCGTAATAAATATTACGTTAGCGAGCACAGTATATTTTGCGGACCCAAGTGCATTAAAGGGTACGTTAATAAATACGTTACTTGTTGCACAACCAACTTTTTTCATAGGAGTGCCTAGAGTATGGGAAAAAATAAATGAAAAAATGCAAGAGAAAGCGCGTAATAACGGCGTAATAAAAACCTGGATTGCTGAATGGGCAAAAGCACAAGCTCTTTGTTATTATACAAATAAAATAAATGGCATAGACTATAAACATTTGGGCTATGTTTTTGCAAAATGGCTTATTTTCGACAAAGTCAAGGCAGCATTAGGTTTAAACAAGTGTCGAACCTTCGTTTCCTCAGCAGCACCCTTGAATATCGATATTAAAAAATATTTCTTGAGTTTAGATATGCCTATATTAGAGGCATATGGAATGTCTGAATGTGGTGGAGCTCAAACAATAATTGACATTGACAAATATAGGTAAATTATTCTTTATATTGAATTTTCAAAGATATTTATGTTTAAAATATTTTGTTTACAATAAATTTTATTCTAATTTGTTAGCTTAAATGGTGTAGGAAGAACTTTACCCGGACTATGTACAAAATTGTACAATATAGATGAACACGGCGAGGGAGAGATTTGTATGAGTGGACGACATATATTTATGGGTTACTTAAATGCACTAGAAAAAACCAAAGAAACCAAAGATGAAAATGGTTGGTTACATAGTGGTGATCTTGGGAAATTAGATTCAAATGGGAATTTGTTTATTTCTGGTAAGTATATTGTTTTACACCTATTAATACTCATTTTTATAATAATATTCATGAAAAATAATGAGTTATGTAAATATATAATGTATATAATGTATATACAATGTACACGATACCCGATAAAGACCGTAACAATACTTACATTCTTGAGATTATTTTGAGACGAAAATCTCAATACCAAAACAATGAGGCTGTAATAGTTTTTGAGTCATAAGCATTTAAAGTTAGCAAATCATACCGCTTAAAGTCTGCACTTTCAGATGTGCTTGGCATTTTTATTGGCATTTTTATATAACGCTTAAACGTACAAACTTTAGGCAATATTCGCTAACTTTAAATGCTTATAATTAAAAATTCATTATATAATCTTAATATTTTAATATTATGATTTGCGTTTCAATTATAATATTAAATAGTTATTTGATTAAATCATCAAAGACTTAATTCATGCAGTTTTTCCG